GAAACATCTACAGTATTTTATTTTATATTTATTTTTTTTTTAATTATTTTTTAATTCTTATTATTTATTTGTGTTTAATTGCTTTTTTATTTTATAATTTTTAGGCGGTTTATAGATATAGTAAAGCTTTTTGTTGCTGTTATTATTATTATTATTNAGGTTATTTTATCTGAACCAGGTGTTTTTCCACGCATAGAAGAAAGAGTAACATCAAACTCCTTAATAGAGATTGGAGAATCAACATAAATGGCTTCTGCGGCAGGAAACATGTTCGTGTAGGCATCGGAAATACTGTTATATTTTAAAGAATTAAATATGGAATGGAAATTCGAGTCATGGGAGTCAGTTGACCAAGTAGAAGCAAAAATTTCAGCAATACCGACAGGTTCGTAAATAGGACCTCCTGTAGAGTGAATGAAAGAGATATGTCTCCGATTGTCTGAGGAGGTAAGCATTTTTATGTCAGACCAAACTTTTTTCGCGTTCGAAGATGGGGAAATGTTTGCGGTGAGTTTTTTGAAAGCTTTTCTTTTTCTTTCTTTAAATTCTCTTCTAAATATACTATTTGCTTTTTTGAATTTGACCAGGTTATCATCTGTCCTGTTTCTCTTGTATTCTTTCCAAGCCGATTGCTTACTATTTCTTAAGGAAGACAGAAGATTGTTCCAATAAGGAAGTTTGGCAGAGGAAATTTTCGGCCTGCTCTGTGGTATGGCTATGTGGGCTGCTGTCCGTATAATACGTTTGATCGCTGCCGCTTCGGCGTTTATATTATTTGAGACAGGAGTTTGGTGAGATGTATTAATTGCAATTACGGAGAACTTCTGCCAATCTGCCTTTTCAATAAGAAATTTTGCCCGAGGTTTTAGTTTATTGATACTTGGTTTAGAAATGGTTGTTAAAATAGGGAAATGATCACTGTTGTGTAATTCGTCTAAGGTTCTGGTTGTGAGCTTTGGAGCTATGGAAGCAGAGGAGAAAGTGATGTCAGGGTTGGTAAATGTTTTATGGGTGGAAAAATGGGTAGGTGCTCCATCGTTGAGGACTATTAAGCTTTTAGAAAGTATGATGTCCTCAAATATCTCTCCTCTTTTGTTTGTGGAAGTTGAACCCCAAAGTGGGCTCCAGGCGTTTACATCACCTACGAAAATAATGGGAGTTGCAAAGATATTGAGAATATTTAGAATTTCTCTGGTAGTGAAATTTTGATCAGGAGGAATATAGCATGAAATGATAGTTAACCTAAAACCAATATCTAATTCTATTGCTAGCGTTTGAATGTTTGAACTAACTGGTATATGTTTGTGTTGAATCGATTTTTTTATGAAAATAGCAACGCCTTGTTTACAATGATTGTTATTTGGATTGTTATGAAAAAAACTAGAATATTTATTGGGAGCAAATATTGATTTATTTGCTGGAATGTGAGTTTCCTGTAATGCAATTACGTCTGGGTTGCATTCTTTAATTAATATATTTAATTCCGGGTAGTTGTTTAGAAGGCCGTGAATGTTCCACTGAAGTACATTCATGGCATTAAGTTTTGAGTATCCATGGTTGGATTGGGAACAGATGAAGAAGTGCTTAGAAAATTAGAGATCTGCGGGACAAAGTCAGATGGGATGAACTGAAGTTGTGAAATGAAGTCACTGACAGAAGTGCCGTTCGGTACAGAGTCATCGACTGCATTGGTTGTTTGTGCATTTATGAGAGTATTTGTTGTGCTGTTGTTATTAACTATCGCTTTGTTGTTTTCAATGTTTTGGATTTCGTTTTCACTATTTTCGTTGATGTTTTCTATGTCAGAGGTGTTTTCAGAGACTATATTTTGTTGTTGTGTTGTTTGTGATTTTGTTTTCTCTTTTACTGTATCAGCAAGAGAAGATGAGTTTGGGTTAAGCTGTGGGATCTGTTGTTTGTGTATATGAATAGCTTCACGCATAGTACACTTGTTGTCAGTTTTTATTGTTAATATCTGCTTCATTTGAGTAAATTTAGGGCATGTTTTGCTTGAAGAAGGATGATTGCCAAAGCAATTTGCACATAATGTGCGAGAACATGGAGTAGGGGAATGAGGTGGAAGGGAGCAATTGTCACATGCCGGAGTTTTATCGCAACGTTTGTATGTATGACCAAGTAACTGGCAGCTTTTACATCTCATTGGGTTTGGATAATACGGTCGCACTTTTGTTGTATACCATGACACTTCGATTTTCTCTGGAAGATAATACCGATCAAAGGTCAAAAGCAGAACTCCGCTTGGATTTGTCTTACCGTCCTTGTGCTTTAAAAATTTGTACACATCTGAGACACCTTGATCTTTAAGGTTTTCAATAATTTCTTTTTCACTAACGTAATTGAGACAAGGCGCGTAAATGGTGCCTTTCACAGAATTAAGGTTTTTGTGCAGCTCAAAATTTATATCGCAAATATCTGCGAGTTTTTTTGTTGATAAGAACTTGTTAGCAACGATGTCGTTTTTAACAAGCAACAATAAGCTGCCGTCTTTTAACTCAGATATATTGTCGATTTCGGAGCTTATGCCCTTTAGAGCTTTGTGAACGGCAAAACATGAATATCTGTTCAGTGGTTTTTTTGTATCTAAGGTATTAGCTACCAAGAACTTAGGATTATTTCTTTTCACTGTAGGAAGTAATGGAAAGGATTCTTTTGGGAGAGGTTTAGACTTTTTACGTTTGCGATTTGGACTTTCCATCAATAAGGAAAATCTATTGCCCCCTAAGGAGGCGCCCGTAGGCGGCATATTTGCACTTCTTTCACTGTGTCTATATGTTCACTAAATTAGCACGCGCAGGGCGAAAGAAAAAGAAACAAAAACAAAGCTAAAGCGAAAAAGATTCGGTCACACGGCAGTGATTATCAAATTCGAGAGCGCAGAATAAACACAACTGTATTGCACGCATGTAGGCATTTTATTTTTAACACGTACCCAATTGGGTACAAAACAACAATGTTTCCAACACTTGGTAGTCAACCTGCGCTACTTACTATCCAATACAAATACCATTGCAAACAAAGCCATCTTGTTTTATACTACTATAGTGTTGTTGTGTTTTATTATCTTTTTTTTCTTGTCCGCTTAGAAACTTACCCTGCTTGAACACTGATTCTCAGCTCATACTCAGGCTCTGACGGCAACTAAGAATTTCTTTACTTCAAAGTACTTCTCACTGTCTGTTTGTCTGTCTTTCTGGCATTCTGGCTTTCCAAGTAAAATGTCTTGCTTTTGATTCTTGGTGGTTGTTATTCATAGGCCGTCATTTTATTGTTTGTGTATACTTTGTGACTTTTTATGTATAAATATATGTATGCATGTATATAGATTAAGACCTGGTGTACAGACCTGCCGATGAGATCATCAGTTTACTGGAAGGTAGTAGGTAAGAAGGAATAAATGGAGATAAATATGAACACAAAAAAAGAAACAAAGACAGAAGAATACAGTCAACTGATATGAGGAAGAGATATGTGTGCTTGAAAAAAAACTCATAAATATGTAGCACATATTACATACGTATATCCACAATGAAATAAATGGCTGCGTAGAGGTATATAATTATGACTTCATGCAACAGTTGTCCCACAGACATGACTATCTGACTATATGAGAGTATCTACTATATACACGTATGTATGTACATGTGTACGCATGTGTTTATGTATGAGAGTGTGACTTCTGAACATGAAGATTCACTTGAAATTCAACCATGAAATGAAGAAAGAGTTGATCTTACAGTCAACCATGACTTGTACGTTTGGGCAATGAAAAAAACGAACGAAGGCATGAACTGATAATTTTGTGTTTATGGGTAGCACTGTGTAGCGTGTAGCGCTGATTGGTGATCCACACAAACCATACAAATTGCATACATTTAACATTCTTGCTTTAATATAAAGGAAATAATTTCACAAAGAAAGGTTAGGCTGTGTGGAAGGAAGGCACAAAAACAAAATTTTTAACTTGAAACTTTTTTCGAAAAAAAGATTGTATTTTTAAAACTTTGGTAAAAACCATTGAAGTTATTATTATTTTAGGGTATATAAGCATATAAAATACATATACATATATATGTATATTAAGTATATTTACTCGTTGCTCAACACTTGTGTGGCATTTTATCGTCTTTGCGTTCGGCATTAAGCTCAGCTCAATCTTATTGGCAGCTTATTTGGGTGTACACAAAAACAAGTTGATATTGTATATACATACATACATATTTATATACCTAACGCACTTCTTCGAATGTCCGCCATGAATTCGTTCAACGCTCGAAAAATATCTTTTACACTTAGTTTGTTTTCATTATAATTTGTTGTTGTTTTTGTTTTTACTTTTGTGTAGCATAAAAGGTTTTGTTAATTTCTCATTTTTATTTTGACTCTTTCAGACTTTTTTTCGATTTATTTTTTTTATTATTTTTTATGCTCTTTATTTACTTTTTCATTTATCGCTTGCCTTTTTATTTGACACAAAAACAATTTATTATTGTTTTTTTCCCCCGTCGAAGCGTTAACGGTCGCTTGATTGGTGGTGAGACAAAATGAGGTAGACTCGTACTTACAAACATGTACATAAATACTAGCATGTACATACGAGATATAAGAGTCAAATGTGTCAGAGCTGAGTTTGTTTGTGGTATAAGACATGAAAGTTGATCTTTAAATAAAAAAAATGGCGTTGAGCTCGATTTTCGGTTTTTTAACTTAAATGTGTAACGATGTATTAGGTAACTAATATAGAAAATGTTTTTATTTTTTTAGTGAGTCACTTGTGATTTATAGAGACACAATTACGTAAATAAACTAAAATATTAATAATCAAAGAAAAAAATTTTAAAAAATATTCATATGTATATTTTTCTACTTATAGACATTTTTCTTGAAAATTACAAATGCATAATGTTTATTTTATTTTATTATTTTTTTTATGAATCTCAAATTTTATAATCAATTCATAAACTTTCTTATTTTCTTTGCAGTTCCCCCGCTGGCATCTGGCTTGCATCATCCTCATCATCATCAAAACGGCTCGAAAAGCAATAGTAACGTTGAAGAGGAGCACACGTCTATGCCGGGTCCGATCTCACCACACACAGATTTTATGGTGAAATGTCCACAATGTCCGACACGGCTAGGTTTTCAGGTAACTAGTGTTGTTTATCAAAAATTATTGTTAAAAAAGTGTAAAAAATCGATTGAAACTCGTGAAAAATTCAGAAATATGCTAACCTTTTACCTTTTGAAAAGCAGAAAAATGCTAAGAAAAAGTTAAATTTCCTAAGAATTTCTAATGACTTAAAAACAACTAGTTCTAGGCACAATCCAAACGAATTAGTTTTAAGCCATTTTTTATAAGAATTATTATTATTTTCAATTTATATGAAACTGACATTTACATACATATGTATTTATTTCACAGTCTCTCCGCGAACACATCGCCAACGAGCATCCGCATGAAAAACTTAATATAGAAAATTCACCATCCAATTTCGCCTACAACCCTCCTATCCAACTTCAGCAGCAACATAACCATCTTATACATCAACAACATCACAACTTCCAACAACAAGCATACACGCAAGACAGCGTTGTCGATATAGATGACGATAATGAGGAGGAGGAGGAGGAGGAGGATAATGATGATAATAGCAGTAATAGTAATAGCAATAGTAGCAATATAAAATTCTCCAATTCACCAAATCAACTCAGTAATAATAATAATAATAACAATAATAACAACAACAACGATAGCAATATTAAAAACAATAATAACAATAGTATTACAAGTATTGAATACGATCGCCGTTCACCACCAGCCACACCGAATAATATTAGCAATAGCAGCAACAACAATAAAAGCCCCCAATCACCAGCGAATTCAAAGCGCAGTGAACAACAACAACAACCACAATCAAACATGATACCAAATGTAACGCCCACCGTCTCACCAACACCACCACACAACGATCTCAGTACCGCTGCCGCCGCCGCTGCTGCAGCCGCTACATCACCATTTGCCGCTGCCGCAGCTGCTGCAGCTGTAGCCGCCGCACAACATCAACTACCGCCTCTGCCAACACATCTTACACATCCACATGGTATGCATCCACATTTACCAGCGGCAGCGCAGCTCATGGCCGCTATGGCTGCTATGCAGGCGCAGCAGCAACAGCAGCAGCAAAATGTTGTGAGTAATGGTACTATAGCAGGAGGAGGGGGAGGAGGCGGAGGAGGAGTCTCTGCTGGTAATATAACATCCGATATCGGTGCACGCACCTCACCCACCAGTCAGCTTTTGGCTTTAGCCACTAACGGACATCATGCCCACCATGCAGCGGCGCATGCGCTGGCTAATAGCATGAACGTCGTTGGACCGAGTATTTACGATATGGACGCAGCGCGCTCTACTTCAAGTCCCGGTTCAATTGGTGGCAGCGAAATGGGCACCTATCACTGCGTTCAGTGTACGGCGACATTCCAGACGCGCGAACAACTGGAGAAACACGAATTACTGCACTCGCCTAGTGCGCAGACGCAAACGTCAAATCAAGTAAGTAGAAATCTTCATTGAAACTTAACTTTATTCAAAACGGGGGAGTTTGACTTGCAATGACGTTTTGAAGTGACTGACTTCAAAAATGTAACGAGTCATAATCAAAGGAATGAGCACAAAGCATGGAGAAATATTACATTTCTTTTAAAATTGTTTTATATAATTTTTTTTACAAATTTAAATTTAAGAAAAATGGATTTACTTTGGAATTAATTTCTGCCAATATTAATCATCTTATACATACATATTTTATTTTCATAAATCAAGTTCACTCGCTTCTTCATTCTTTTAAATGAAATGAAGATTGGAGGCGTATATAAACTCTCCACACCGAAGAATATGTATGTTATGTATACATATTTATATCTATATGTATATGTTAAATTGAACAAAGAAGCTTCATTGTACATCGCTCTGCCTTTAACTTGGCATTTGTTTGTATGTGAGCAAATAAGAAAATGTGAAGCAACCTCAGATATTTAAATCAATCTTAACTGACTTACCTACACTTTTAATTTATTTTTATATATACATACTTAACATGCATATATACATTGGTACAAAATTAAATTGCCACTTGAGAATACGAAAAGAAAATGTGAACGAATGGAAGAATAAAATTGATTGAAGAAGTTGGCTGTAAAATAAATAAAATAAAATAAGAAAAAAAAGTAAAAAATAAAAAAAAAAATTAAATAAAAGAAAATTAAGAATAAAATAAAATTAAATAAAATAAAATTAAATAAAATAAAATATAAATTAAAATAAATTAGCAAAAAATTAAAAATTTAAATAAATTAAATTAAACAAAAACAATAAAATACTAAAGTATAATAAAATAAAACAAAATATAAACTGAAATAAATTAGCATAAAATTAAATAAATTAAATTGAGCAAAATCAATAAAACACTAAAATAAAATAACAAATAAAATAAAGTAAAGGAAAATAAAAAATAAAATAAAACAAAAAAAAATATAATATAATATAATATAAAATAAATTAGCAGAAAATTAAAAATTTAAAACCATAAATTAAACAAAATCAATAAATACTAAAATGAAATAATACAATTTCAATTTCAAATAAAGAAAAATAAAATTGATTTAAACAAAATAATTTAAAATGAAATATAATAAAAATTAGTACTTTACTCAAATCAATAAAAACCAAAATTTTGAACTACTTAAAATAAATTAAAATAAAATAATTTTATTAAACCAAATAAAATCATAACAAAATGAAAACATAAAATAAATTGAATTCAAACGGGTAAAGAAAATATCTAAAAAATAAAAAAAATTAAAATATTAATTGAAATAACATAAAGTTAAATAAAAATATGTATATATAACCATAAATAAATATTAAATATTATAAAATAAATTAAAGAATTATAATGAAGTCAGCCGTTCGGAGGCGGCTTAGTATAAACCGTTGGTCCCTCCATTTGTTGGAATAACAGCAAGACGCAAAACCACAAATTTGAGGAGGAGTTCGGCCGAAAATCGCTTCAGTGGCTACAAAGCGCCAAAAATATATTATAATTTAAATTAAATAAAATATAAAATCAAAATAAATGTAAAATAAAACATACAAAAAATAAAATATAAAACCAATGAAAATAAAGTAAATGAATACAACCAAATAATACAATATGTGTATAACCCAATTAAAACCAAATTAATATGGTTTAAAATTCAAATTAAAACAAACAAAATAATAATATAACATAAAAAAACAAGAAAGAAAAATTATAAAATAGCGGAGTAAAAAAAAGTAAGAATAAAATAAAGAAATAATAGATTAATAAAAAAATATGTAAAAATAAATAAAATCAATTTAATTTAGTACGTAAAATAAAATCAAATAATTCAAATTTAATTTAATAAAAAAATTAAATTCAATTAATTCAAATATGCTAGATTAATATAAAACTAATTAAAATGAAAAAAAAAATATAAAAAAAAGAAATAGAAATTAGAATTATTATATTTAAAAATATTGAACCAAACACTTTAATTGCTCACATTATATATGGAAATTATTAACAAAATTAAAGTTCTAAATCCTTTTATAAAGTTGAGCTTATCTCAAGTATTTTTATAATAAAAATTGTGTAGAACATTTTTTTTAAACAAACAAGACTAAACGGTTGAGAAAGCAACAAAAAATGTTAGCAACATTAAAACGCCGTCAATATAAAGATATGTATATTATTAAATAAATAATATCTATAAATCTGAAACAGGTGTAAACAACTTACCAAAAAAAATTGCTGTCAGGGAAACAGGGTTGCATATAAACGCGCCTAAGAGAACTCAGTCACTATTTTTTATTTAATATCTTTAGAGCCTAATCATTTTACTAGAAAGTCTGCACCAAGTAAGAGACGTTGATTTGAGGCAGAGACTGAGTCGTAAATACAATTTATATATACATATGCATATATACATATATATATATTTTTTTTTTTTTAGTTGCGCTTATAGTTATACTTGTAGCTTTGGTTGTTGCTAAAAACTTCTCCCTCTTTCACAACCTGCCTATCAGCAATTTTCTTACGGTAATGTCTACTGTACTGATAGTGCCATTGTTGAAATTATTATTGTTGTAGATTTTTTTTCACACATACACACAACTGCTTGCTTATCTAACCACAGTCGGTCATACTCAGTCATAACTCTCAATTGTTTATTGGTGCGTAGCCTATACTAGTTTGGTGATAAGCGTAGCGTGTATGTAGCAAGCTGCAGGGAAATTATGAAATATAAGTCGTAGGCTATCTAACAAGCAACTATGCATACACATGCCTATGTTTACGTATAAAACCTACGATAAGGTAATAAAATGACTGTTTTCCAACAAAACTGATAAGGAAAGAAAAAATAGAAGCGGCAACAGAAATGTTTATGAAAAGATACGCCCACCGTGGTGGAGGCAATAAAAAAAGTGTGGAGTAGAAGAAAAAAAACACACTGTAATGTGGATATAAATATGTATGTGTGTACAATGTATGTAGGCTGTAAAGCGAACGTCAGCCCAAACTTCTTCATGTTTCTTTACAACCGATAAGCAAGGTGGCATAATGGCGACTATGGAAGACTTTTTTATTCATTTTACTCAGATATGCTCTTTACATACCTTACTATGTGATTTTCTTATTATTATTTTCTACTATACTAAGCCTAAATGTTACAACCTACTTGCCTTGGAGTTGCATTCTATTAAGATTTACACTCACACTTACTGACATTATTATCGCCTGTTATGGTCATAAATTATGATTTGTTTCTTTATTTTTTTTTTACGAACTTTACCTTTTAATAAAAAATAGCAACTTGCCAAAAGTACAGCAAACTCATAAGATAGGAGAAAATTTATCATTAAGAAAAAAACTTTTGTAGCCACATGTGCTGTGCAGCATGTGTGACGACGCAGCAACCATCCAATATTGGTCACCACCCTTGGTTATCTAAACGAAAAAGCTCCGAACACAACCCTCACCAAACTTTCGGTCATTTTTTCTCATTAACCTGTTGTGGGTGTTGTTGCGCTTGAGTTGCATATCAAAGTGGTGGCAAAGCCATGCTTGGCAAACTAATCAATTCATATGCAAGCTGGGAACGGGCGGCGTAGAGTATAATATGCGAAATCTTTAATAAACGTTTCGGTTGTGATTTTTACCTTTCAGCTATGATTCCAAAGCACTATTTGCTATTAATACATATGTATGTATATTGCAATTATTTTTTGCTCCCCTTTGCGTGCTTTTTTATGACACTCCATTTTTTTTTTTTTTTTTTTTGCTTGCTTATTCCCTGGCTTGTATGACACTTGACGTTTGGCCAATAACATCAGCTGTAACGTCGTTCAGGTTCGCAGCACAGACAAACACAAAATACGCACATACAAACTTACATTTATGAGTTTTTCATCTTGCATGCATGTGTGTCGACGCTTAGCTTCCGGCTATGATGCGCCTGCAAGCAGACTAATATTTTTTGTGCATAAGCGTGAAAAAATGGCTCATATTGCTTTAAGTACATTTTTCATGTTGCTCTCATAGATATACAAACAAACTCGGTTTTTTGTTTTTTTTTTTTGTTTTTTGCTCTCAGCAACAACAATTTTTTATTAGCAGCAAAGCAAATACCTTTAACTCCAACTGCTGAATATTGTGGTGGTCATTCACAGTAAACACCTAAAGCGCCACTTCGCGTTTATGTTTATGTTGCTATGTAGAAGTAGCTAAACATACGCACACATATGCACAAGTGTTCGTGAAAACTAATATTCAAAATGTTGCTTGCAACTCTGCTTTAACACTCTTTCTGCTCTTTGTCGTCTACTCATTTCAAACAGCTCTCTTCTTTCGCATCAGCGCTTGGGTTTTTGCCCTTAAGCGTTAACTAAACTCTTTTCAGAAAAGTAGATTTTTAGACGAAAAAAAACACACACATCTAAAATTGCTCAAAAATCTAATCTTCAAGCCTTTAACTGGAATTGTTGTTGGTGGCGTCTCTCAAAAATTTGTTATGCAAAAAACTTTTTTGAAGTGTTCATAAAAAAGTTTATGGGCATCATGGCCTGACTGTCTACCTTTTGAGTTACATAATATATACATATATACACCTATATGTAAGTATAAGTGTGTCCTTATGCTATATTCTTGTTTTACTTCTCACTCTACTTCTGTCAAATGTGACTGTGCTCCGAAATTTAGTGCGAACAATGAGGCTGTTAAAGTCATAAAAAACTAAAATTTAATTCTTTTAAATCTTGAAGCATACAAAACAAATAATAAAAACGAATTGAATTGTAAAAGCTGATTGCGTAGTAGAACTTTAATTTATGTCATTGTACAATTCGTTACTTTGTATTATTATTTTATATCTTATTAAATGATTATATAATATATAGCTTTACAATATATTTTATTTCCTTTATTTTTGTATATTATTATTTTTTCTTTTTTTTTAATTTATTTGATTTAT